ACCACGACTTCCGGACCACCTGCCATTCTCCGGTCCTCGACGGCATCAAAGTCACGAGCGCAGGGAGAGACAAGGTGGGAGAAAGAGACAGAGAGGAAGCGGTCCGCTCGGGCTGAAACGAGACAGGCAGGTAGACGCTGGTCACGACAGCATCAGCATCGAGGCCTATCGTCCCATCGCGATCGCGAAGAAACGCAGGCACCAAGCAAGCCTTGAGGCGACCCAGCCCACCTCACCGGCACCCAACATCACCCGCTGCGGCGCTTACATCCCCATCTCAGAGACAACAGGCCACTTCAACTACTCAAGGGCCGGTCCCAGCCCTCGCTTCCTGTAACAGCACGCGCGCCAAATCCTTCCCAACACCGGTCCCTGTCAGTCACCGACGACCCCGTATCTTCCCCGGCCGCGGGAAAGCAACATCATCCGAGGAGGTGGTGCTTTTTTTTTTCTTTTTTTCTTTCTTTCTTTCTCTGTTTCTCTTCTTATCGTAAACCATGGTCAGCCCGAGTTACTACTCGGACGGACGACGATATAGCCGTCTGGACCCGACGTACAGCTACCCCGAACGCCAGCAGCGACGCTCACATTCTTCCGAAGCGCGGACGTCGTCGACCATGACTGAACGAGAGTCCGAGACCGATACGCCTCCTCGCAAGCGCATTGCTGTTGCTGTAAGTTTCTCCTTTTCTTTTCTCGTTTTCGCTATCTGCTTCTCGGTTCTGTCGTTTTTCATCTTCACAACCTGTATGCTTTGCTTTCTATATCTCATCTTGCGTGTAACCTGCTCCGTGTCTTTTCAATGTCCATGGAGCCCTTGTCAAGGGGTTTCCGTTGAAGACGCCGGAAGGGGAACCGGTATAGCCATCGTCGGCGCAGGAAAAAACAAAACGAAAATTAGGAAAACACCTAACAAGACCAACAGTGTGGTCGTTGTCGGAAGCGAAAGATACGCTGCAGCGGAGACACTGGCAACGGACATCCGTGCCAAAACTGCAAGGCCGCCGGCGCCGAGTCCTGCATGTTCTTACGAGTAAGTCTACAACCCCGCGCGGCCCCCTCCCCCCCCCCCCCTCTTCTTGAATCACAAAGACTAACACGCGTCATCCAAGGTCGCCTCGACCGAAGCTCCCTGGGTCCAGAACCCCGAGTTCGCGTACGAGCTCAAGGCGGCGAGGGCATACCAAGCCCAGCAGGCCATGGTGTCGCCACTGACTGCCTCCCCGCCGCACTACGCCTCCGAGATGCACGACAGCCTGTCCCGCTACCCCCCGGCCTCGGCCGGTTACTCGTCCTACGGAAGCGCAGGAGGAAAGTACTACTCCTCGGCGGCGACCATGCCGAGCTGGTCCTCCCACCCGGGCTACTCTGATGACGGCACCGGCGCCGTGGATTACAGCGCCGCGGCCATGGGCTACTCGTACCCCTACCAGAGCCACGACCCGGGCTACTACTACCGTATGTCCGCCAAGGCCGCCGCCACGAGCGCGGCGGACTTGTATGTCAATGCGGACGCAGCGGCAGGGTACGGTTACGGCGGCGCTGGGGCCGCGTCCCTGGTTCACCGGCCCGCCGCGACGCCATCGGTGCAACAGAACGAGGCATCAAACTTCTCCCTCTCCACCGTCGCGGCGTCCCTCCCGCACGCCGCCGGCGGCGGTGGCGACCGCCTACTCCCGAACCCGGCGCCCCGTCTCTCCAACACCAACGTACTCGCCTACCGCACAGACAGCGCCGCCGCCGCTTCGTCGTCCACAAAGTCCTCCGGCAGCCCCGTGCCGCAGACGTCCCCGATGAGCGCCGCGTCCGAGGTGACGGCGGGCTACACCGCCTCGTCGGTCGCCGGCCCGGGGAGCTACGATTCCTCGCCCGTGACGGCGTACCCGCCGCCCGCGCACACCCTCCCCTCGATGGCGCCGCAGAAGCACCACCAACACCACCAGCACCACCGGGCCACCAACGTGGCGGAAATGATGGGCTACCCACCGCCCTCGACGGCCGGCGGCGGCGCGGACTCCATCTTCAGCGTCTCGGACGCGAGCCTCCGCACGCACGGCTCCGCCTCCGACCTCAGCTACAAGTACACCGACGGTTCCTCGGGGGCGTCCTCCTCTACGGGCCGCCGCGGCAGCGGCGAGACGGCGAGCTCCGGCGGCTCGCTGTCCAACGGCCAGCAGTACACCGTCACGACGCCATCCGTGGGCATGTACGCCGCCGTGGCGGGTCACGGCCGGCACCACGTCTCGCAGTACATGATATCCGAGGACGCCGCGGCCGAGCATCACGCGAGCCGGAGATCCGCCGGCGGATTATCCGTATCCTAAGGAGGGACGGGGGAGGGGCATACGGCCGGATGGGTGTATCCCTCTAGTGTGCCGGGCAGAAAATAAGGATGGGAACCCCCTCTTCTTCCCACCCTTGGCAGCACCGCCTGCCTCGACGCTGCTCTCGCGGTTCTATTTTTGTTTCCTCTCTCTTTTCTTGTTTTCTTTGCATTTTCTGTGCCCGTTGCTTTTAGGCACGATACCAACACGTAGCGCCCGTTCACGCATTGCTTCCAGCATCCGAGGGGAGGTGTGGAAGGGGAGGGGAGGGGGGGAGGAAGAGACGACAAGAAAGCGAGGTCCTCATCCGACCCTCCATGGGAGGGAGAATACGGGAGGGCCTGGGCCTGGGCCTGGTGGCGTTTTCCCAATTTTCCAGATGCACTTCGGCAGCCATGCTCACAAGCAGCCAACCATCAAGTTCCGTAATTCCAGAGTCAAGGCGGCGATATCATCCCAGTTCTAATTTTGGGGACCCCTTCAGCTAAGCTAGTCTCTGCACGTATCAGCATCCTTCAAAGAATGTTCCCGGTCCCCCCCCCCCCTATTTGTCCGAGGCCTGTGACTGTAGGGCTCATATACGAAGCCCCCCCTCAACCCGAAACTCAACATCTCTTGAGATGACGGCCTGCAGGTTGTTTTCGAGGGCGTCGTGTTCCTTGTCCTCCTCCATGGCTCGCCTCGTACACCGCCTAGAGGGAAGACGCCACACACACATACTCACATACTCACACACACACACACACACACACACACACACACACACACACTGTACATGTTCGTACGTCGTCGAAGCAAAACGCAGGGCCTGTTGTCCATGGGAGGTGGCTTGTCTTGGCATGAGACCAGGGCCAGGACCGGGCACCGGATTGGGTTGCCAGGGGGCGTTTAGGAGGGCGTACTGCGCGCGTCTGTGGCCCGGTATGCACTTTTCTGACCACCGCCGTCGCCAGCTGTCGGACATATCACGGTTGGTTCGGCTGCGAGGCGTCTGAATGCAAGGGGTTTGACGTCTCGTCCCCCCGGCCCCTTGGCCTGAACCACAAGGCCAGGCTGACCGTTGGGCTTCTTGGCTTGACGCGGGCTGTCACTGGTCAAAGAGCGTCTTGGGATGTGTGTGGATGGTCCCCCTGTCCCGCCGAAAGGGGTCAACGTGTGGATGTCGGGTGTCCAACGGTCCAAATCGGACCTGACCCCGGGGCGGCGTCATGCGGCCACCCGACCCGGACGACCGCCCCCCCAGCCCTTGGTGGGATGGCCCAACCCCAGATCCCAGCTCGTTCCCTCCCACCATCCCGCTCGCTTCAAACCTAATGCCGGCCACCAATGGACGGGTCCTGCCCGGGCTCCCAGCCCCTCCTTTCGTGTTCCCAGCGGCCGCCGCCTCCTGTTCCGAAGCTGGCTTTTCTTCCGTTCAGTGGCAGATGAAGAGAAGGTGGGGGTGGAGGCGAGGTTTCTAGGATTATGACGTGCCTCGAGGCTGCATATAGTGCGGGAGATTTCACCACACATTCGTTCACCTCTCCTCCGGGCCCCCATTTACAAAATCAACCCTGGTCATTCCTTTCACCACGTAGGAGGAGACGTCGTTTCGTCGCCAATCGCCTTCGTCGTTCGCTTTCACTCTCATCTTCCACTTTCTTACTCTCTTTTTGCAAAAAAGAAAGAAAGAAAAAAAACCCCAAAAGCCTTGGCTCTTGCATGGGGCACCATGGGGATGAAATGGCATGGGAGGGGGAGCACTAATACCCGAACATTTGGGCGTGGCCCGAGCGAAAAAGTACTTGTCCTTGGTTTCTCTCTGTGTATTGCCTTCTTCTACGTCAGAACCTCTCCGGCCTCGGGTTTGTTCTGCTTTCCCGGCCTGTGTTGGCACCTTGCGCACCATCGTCTTCTTGCGTATGCCTTTTTCTTTTCTCTTCGCATTGCTTCCGTTGATTTTCGTCGGGACTCTCTCTTCGTCCATCCGCTCGTCTTTCAGGGTTCAGAGATTCTCCATTCGGGGCGGCTCATGGAGGGCAGGCGTGATACATAACGGGCGGATAGGGGGTTTAATAGGCATAGAGAGACCGGGTGGGCTGGGTGTATTTTTCTTGAACGGCTGGATGATGCGGTGCCCAAAGGCCTGGGATGGTCCTCGGGATACGGTGATACATAAAATTAGCGCGACTTTTGGGGCATCCGCAACCTTCTCGTCCTAGGGATTGGAGGAAACGAGGTCATGGCCAAGTTGGCATGTGGACAGAGGACATGACGGGATATGAGGTGTCTAAATATCGCGACAATCAAGGGGCAGGACCGAGCTGCGCATGTTGATTCCCTTACACGACGACGGCGTTGGGTCGTTTGCTTGTCCACCAGATTGCTGTTCGCTTTTCATCTTTCCGCGGTGCGCAGACCCAATCCAAAGAAAGTTTATGTCAAACCATCAAAGCTATCACTCTTTGGACCGTGACACGAAGACGGCACATACAAATAAAGCCGTCGGGCCCGGGCCGGATACCGCCCACACAGAGAGCAGGCGCCTGCACCAACTTGGTAGTATATCTCGTGATATTCTCTTCCTTTCCTTCATGATTGCTTGATTAATACTCGGTATACTGGGTATGAACTAATTTCGCGCCTCATCAGCGGATGAGCGCGCGCATGTGTACGTGGAATCCATGTGTGTGCTCTTTACAATTTCCCCTCGGCCTTTTCCTCAACCTCGCAAAACGCCTTGAACGTGACAAACTCATCATCCTCGTCGACATCGGACTGCAGCACCAACTCGGCCGTGGAACCGACGAAAAAGACATTTCCCTCGCTCATCTTGTGCACGGTCGGGCCAACCGCTATGGTGCCCTTGCCTGACGTGCAGAGCACGATGCTGGGACCCTCGATCGGTTCGAAAGTGACCTTGGAGCCATGCCCCCTCAGCAGCGAGCGAACGACGCTGAATTCTTCGATGGGAGGGTCGTACAGCATCACGGCGGAACCGGAGCTGTAGGCGGCGCGGTTGAGGGTGGCATAGGGGTACTCGGTGGGAGACATCTTCTGCTCGTCAATGGGGGCGTAGTTATAGGTGAGCATGTCGACAAGGGTGGTCACGTCCTTGAACTTGGGCGTGAAGCCGGCACGGACGACGTTGTCCGAGGCGGCCATGCACTCGATGATGTCACCCGAGAGATAGGCATGAATGTCGTCGGCGCGGAGGAACATGGCCTCGCCGGGTTCCATCTTGACGAAGTTGAGGAAGAAGAGGACAAACAGACCAATGTCCGCGCCAAAGGAGCTGTGGTTGCGGAGTACTAGCTCCGAGAGGGTTTCGCCGTCGGTCGTGCTGATGCCGCCGGCGGCAAAGTCGCTGCCCTCCGACTTGGCGAGGGCGACGAGCTTCTCCGTTTGCTTCTCGATCTCGTCGGGCGTAGCGGACAGCAGCGAAGCAAAAATGTGCTGCAGAGCCTTCTTGTTCCGGTCTTTGGTTTCGGGGTCTTCACTTTCCTCCTCTCCCTTGACCGTGTTGATGAACTCGTCGGCCTTGTTGTCGACGACCAGGCTCTTGAGGGGCGGGATGGTGGTCAGGAAGTGGGAGATCTCGGCGAGCGGGCGGAATCCGCAGAGCCCCTCGAATGAGGTGATGGCAATCGCCATCTCGGGCTTGTGGTTGTCATCGGGGTAGTTCTTGGGGTCGCTGGCGTGAAGCTGCTCGGCGAGCTTCTTGTTGGGATGGGCCTGTATGGAGAGGGCCTTGTTGATGGAGAGAACCTTGAAGAGAAAGGGTAGTTTGGAGCCGTATTTGGAGGCTACCGGTGAGGACAGGAGCTGTTGGTTGTCCTGAACAAGCTCGAGGAGGGTTCGGCCGGACTGCACCTCTTTGGAGGGATTCGAGGGGTGGGTACCCATCCAGAGCTGGCGGTATTAGAGCATGTCAGAGAAGGGCGGGAGACGCAAGGAGGAGCTCACCTCTGCGTACGGCTTCTCCGACTGGATGCTAAAACCCTCCGAGGGCGTCGTGGCAGCAAAGCGCGCAGCTGCTGATTCCTCTCCCTTCTTGCCCCATTCATACGAGTTCACTCCGCATTGGAGCTTAAACAGAGGGACTTGCAGAACCATAGTGTCAGTGCAGAGCTGTTAAACACTCAAAGTATTTGAAGAAAAAGTAAAGAGCAAGTCTCAAGAAGAAGAGAAGAAGACGACGACGAGGAGGAGGAGGAGGACGACGACGACAGCTGTGTCGTGGTATTAGAGTTGATAGGCAGTACGTACGTAGACTCACCCCACCATTGAATTTGACGTCAGGGAGAGCTTCACCTTGGAAGACCCCGCAAACTGGAGCCAAGGGGTTAATAGTCGAATCTGCTGCCTGCTCCAGACCCCTCCAATGTGATGGACGATCAGAGCACGGGCCCCGGGCGAGTGGTCGGGCCGCTCTGCGGAAGGTGTGCTGCCGAGGCATGATTGGCTTACTTAGCATTCCTAGTTTTCACCTTTCCACTTTGGGAATACGCGGCTGTACGGATACTTCCTGAGGTTCTGGTACGGTGGTACCTGAGCTGCTAGCGCTTACCGCCTGTATTCTGCCACCTGCAACCCCACCCAAGGTAGACCGTCTATAGCCTTCAACGTATCGTGGCCCCCTGTCTGCGACCTCGCCCGCTTTTTGGAAGTACCTGTATAATCGTGGACTGTGTCTTTTTCAATCGCATCATGACCTAGGCCCTCGTTACGCGAATCTGCATTTTTCTTTAATAGCTTCTTTTTGCCCTGAGATACCCAACAGCCATAGAGCGCAAGGCAGGCTCCATCTATCTGTCTAACACGACCTCGGACCTGCGGCAGCTGGCAGAGCAGGGCCCAAGTGAACGTCGCTCCTTCCCTATCCTGTGAGTAGCTGCGGATTAGACAGACCTTACCGACCCAGATCAGATCCAGGCTTCACCTGTTTGGATTGCTCCTCCTCAACAACCACTGCTCTATTCCAACCCAGCATCAGACGCGACCCAGGCGCTGACATAAACATGCCAGAGAAACCGACGCCCAAGGCAAACAGGCCGCTTCCCGCTGGTCGCAAGAGAAAGCTCGCCGCCACCGAATTCCATCCTGCGACGACGACGACGACTGGCTTGGGTGCACCCGTCGCACGTGTCTAGAAGAAACGCGATTCGCCCAACAACCAGCCCAGCCCTCTGGGCTCACTCCAGGCCAAGATGTCTCAACGCAACCGTAGCGGTCGCGGCTCGAATCGCAACAACGGCAGCGGCCACGGCGAGGAGGTACAACTATGGGAGTCGGCAAAGGAAAAGTTTCACGAGATAGTCAGCGGCGTTAACCAGGAGAACGACAACTTGACGGAGCTGTTGAAACTAGACAAAAAGGCCGCCATCGCGAGCATGGACGGCGGCAAGCCCACCGGCTCCGATCTTAACAAGATGGAGCAGAACTGTCGCTCGGGAGTCAAGCTGTCCGAGAACAACTCGAACAACATTAAAAACCTTATCGAGCAGCTCAAGATCCTCAAAGCCGTACAACAAGCCAAGGAAGCCACCGAGGCTCCCGCAACGACCAGCACATCATCACGGACCGGCAGCTCGACGCGCAACCGAGATGCTGCGGCGGCGGCATTGTACGATTTTGACGGGGCCGGCGACTCTCCCGTACCCAGCCCAATCGGCGGCAACTCGCGCAAGTTTGGTGATCGAGGCAGCAACCGAGACAGCATGCCGCCCAAGGCCGATAGCGTCGAGCCGCAGGGGTCGACGGGCTCCAACACGGCGGGGTCGTCCTCGGGCGCTCTGGGGTCGAGCGCTGCGTCGGCAGCCCGCAGCAAGGTGTCGTTCTCAAAGGGCGACAAGGTTGCATTCAAGCGGAAGAAGGACGAGCCGCAGCAGGGCGAGGCGCCCTACGACTGGATACTAGGTGAAGTCGTCGGCGTGATCGGCGAAGGCAAGAGCCGACGGTACAAGTGCCTGGACGTGGAGCCGGAAGACAACGTCAAGCCGAAGGAGTACAAGACGTTCGCATCGGGCATGATACCAATCCCCCCCGAGAACCAGACGCACAACCTCGCCAAGCTGGAGGCCGGCAAGATGGTACTCGGTCTGTACCCACAGACGACGGCGTTTTACGCGGCTGACGTTGTCGGCACGGAGGCGGACGGCAAGACGGTCAATCTCAAGTTCCACGGCGAGAACGACTCCTCGACCACGCATCAGGTGGAACGTCGCTACGTGCTGGAATTTCGGCCTTAGATGACCAGCAGCCCCGTGCGGCGTTTTCCGTCCGGGGGGTTTTCACGAGACGCAAAGAAGGGAGAGCGAGCGAAAGGCGGGGGGGGTGGCTCCTCTGGATTGTACCTGTATTAGCGACAGCCATCAGCGGGCGTTCGCTTAAAGTATTGAGTTGGTTGCGGCGTATTGGCCGAGGGATCACCGGGCCGGACATGGGGGAGGGTCTCATGTCGTTAAGGCTCATTAAACAAAACAAAAAGGGAACAAGGACGAGGCGGGTCGAAACGGAGTTTTTAACACGAGTATTATGACGCAAGGGTCGGCTCGGCGAATAGCGGCAACCATGGCAACAATAGGAAGGGTCGCGGCGGTACGGATATGAAGAGCTTGGTATTGCCTGTCTTGCACGACACCCTCATGGAGACGTTGCACCACCACAACCCCTTGACTGCCTTTGTACCTACATCTCTTTCTCTCTTGTTCTTGGTACGCGGACAAGGCGACGGTGCAATCAAACTTTATGGTCAGTTGGCTTGGAAAGTGTCAAGTGTCAAATGTCAGATTCCGCCCCCCTCCCCTGACTCCGGCATGGCACGTGCACTCGTGGAATGCCGCGCCGGCTGAGTTGCCTGCAGGTCGCTAAATATGCCCATTGGCCGGAGAAGCAGATGCCATGGCAGCAAGGGCTGAAGGGGGGGAACTGGTGGAGGGGAGGGGGGCCTCGGATTAAGGTCGACGAGTTGCGAGTCGTAAGCGCGGAGAAGCCAAAAGGAGAAATTGGAGAGGGGACGTGCAGGAGATGAGGAGAGTAGTTTTTGGCAAGAAACGGGCAGACCGTTGGCGAGAAAGACAGAGAAAGGGAGAGAGACATCAGCAAGCAGCACGGCGGATGAAGCTACTCCCAAAAGAGAAGCAGGACCCTTTGGAGGGATCCAATTTTTTTGGTTTTTTTGGAGAAGCCTTGATTCCTGAATCCACCTCGAAAAAAGGTACACGGGACAGCTCATTGGTCCGGTGCAGTTTCCTCGTCCCCGTGCGGGATGGAAAGGTGCCGGTGTGTGTGTGTGTGTTGTGTGTGAGTGAGTGAGTGAGTGGTTCCCAGTACGTACCTCCTTTCCGCAACGAATCTCCGGGCCAAGAGTCAAGATGGACCAGTTAGTTGGTCAGGTGCAGCCAAGCGGGGGGGGGGGGGGAACGTGGATGAAGGGAGAGCAACAACTGTGAAGCGAGAGAGAGAGAGAGAGAGAGAGAGAAACGGACGGATCGGGAGAAGGGGGGGAAAGAGCAGAGGGGGAGAGGACAGAAGGATGGAAGGAAAGGAAGGTCCCATAATTACGGATACTCTGTACGAAGTAGGTATCCGTACGGATACAAGTACGGTGTACCTTTCGAATTCCTTGCCTCTTCGCAGCAGAGAGAGAGAGAGAGAGAGAGAGAGAGAGAGAGAGAGAGTCTCCATCCGTACTTAGCTTCCGTGCATGCTTTCGCAAAGCACGCATTGCATGGTCTCCTGCCACTCATTGTGTGCATGTACACACACACACACACATATACGTGCCTTGCATTGCTGCATGGTCCAATAACCCGATGGTCCAATCTCTCCTCTCCGTTCTCCGTGATTAGCCATCGCAGTTTGGACACGGGGCCCCAGGAGAGGAAGAAAAAGAAGAAAAAAAGAAAGGAAAAAAGAGAAGAAGAAGAAGAAGAGGAAAAAATCCAAATTGTCATCCGAGGCAAGGCATCTGATGATTGATGTAACCGTGCCCATGATGGATGATTACAAAGTACGAGCGCTCGCTCACTCGCTTATTTGCCTGACCCTACCTTACCTACCACCTCGGCAACTTGGGTAGGAGTGAATGGAAGTAGAAGGGAGCCTCCCCCCCCCCCCCTCTTCCAGCAAACGTTGAAACGCATGAGTGAGGCAAGACGGAGGTCTTCATTCCTAACGGCAGCTCCAGACGAGCACAGCGTTTCTAATGGACCGAGTAGGTAAGGCCAGGTAGTGTACCGTAGGCTAAGGTAAAAAGGAGGTACCTTGGGATAAGGCATGGATGGTCACGAATACATGTACACATTCGGTACACATTCGGTACACTCTCGTACTGAGCTTTTGTTTCGGACGACGGTTAGCATTAATCTCGCCCCAAATATAGTTGACAATCGGCCTGTTATGACACTTGTAGTGTACTGACCTGTTCCTATCCCCCATGTCCAACACGTCTCGGCCCACGTCCCCAGTCCTAGTACCACCACCAATTCCCCGTTCCAGCTCCCTCCCACCACCACGTCCCATGCCTGAGCGACAAAGAATAGAGCCCGACTGCATTTGACCTCTGATCCTCGACAGCCACACGGGGCGCGCCAGTGTCAAATCGCAAGGCTGCTTCCTTTTTTTTTTTTTTTTCTCTTTTTTTTTTTTTTTTCTTTTCCTCTCTCTTCTCTCTCCTCTGCGACAGCTTCTTCAACCACACACACGCACACACACACACACACACACACTCTCTCTCTCTCTCTCTCTCTCTCTCTCTCTCTCTCTCTCTCTCTCTCTCTCTCTCTCTCTCTCTCTCTCTCTCTCTCTCTCTCTCTCTCTCTCTCTCTCTCTCTCTCTCTCTCTCTCTCTCTCTCTCTCTCTCTCTCTCCCCCTCTCTCTTGTCTACCGCCCAATTCCAATCCTCTCACCCCGACAACCGTGCAGCGCCTTTGCGGTTCAATCACACGCGCAACATCCGCCCGAATCCTTGATAGGCCTGCCGTCACCGCACTTGAGCATAAGTCATCAGAGGGAGCGACCCACCATACCACGTTGCGATATCACATCCCCTTTAAGCCCGACCACCGCGTCACCACGCCCGTCCACGACCGACACCTTTCGACATACATCCACATTCTGACTTTTGTACGCAACACACGCCATACCCATTACCCACCCTCGACCGTCGCAATGGGTGGTCAACTCTCCAAGATGATGGGCAAGATCTTCGGATCAAAGGAGATGCGCCTGCTGATGTTGGGTCTCGACGCCGCCGGCAAGACCACCATCCTGTACAAACTCAAGCTCGGCCAAGACGTCACCACTATCCCCACCGTCGGCTTCAACGTCGAGACCGTCACCTACAAGAACGTCAAGTTTAACGTCTGGGACGTCGGTGGCCAAGACAAGATCCGTCCCCTCTGGAGACATTACTTTAGCGGTGAGTCTGCCGCCGCCGCCGCCTCCGCTTTGCTCCTCTCCCCTTCTCCCTTTGCCTCGCCCGAGCGAATGCCCCCCCCTCCTTTTTGCCGTTTTAACAATTGCGCTGACGAGACGCCCCCCCTTTGCTCAGGAACCCAGGGTCTGATCTTCGTCATTGACTCGTCTGATCGCGCAAGAATCGAGGAGGCCAAGTCGGAACTGCACAGGATCATCAACGACCGCGAGATGAAGGACAGCTTGCTGCTGGTGTTTGCGAACAAGCAGGATATCAACGGCGGTAAGTTTGACACCAGCGCCCCTTTCCTCTCCCTCATGCGGACTCGGACCGCCGCCGCCGTCGAAACTGACCGCTGCTTTCCTCGACGGCACACAAATCGCTAATGCACATTCTTACCACAGCCATGAAGCCGCAGGAAGTCACCGAGGCCCTCTCGCTCTCCAAGCTGAAAGACAAGGTCTGGTACGTCGTGCCCAGTTGCGCGACCACGGGTGAGGGCCTGCTCGAGGGCCTGGCCTGGCTGTCCAACAACGTCAAGGCACCCCCCGCTCCGGCCAAGAAGTAAACGACCAGACGACATACATGCCTCATCATCACAATTCCCATCCTCTACGACTCGCCGACCGAAACTACCCACCCGTCCGCTCAGCCCCATCTCACCCTCCCCAATCTGTGCGTCACTCCAGATTACGCAGTGAGGCATCGACCGTCCCCCGAACCGAATCCGCCCGGATATTAGACTATCCATCACCCATCTGATAACCCGTCGCGGCCCGGTCAATGGGCTCAGGAAAAGATGCCTCCGCAAGAGCGCGCTGCCGATGACCACCCTGAAGGACTATTGGTTCCTCGTACTAATAATCGGCAGCACCGGGTCCTCCAACTCGCCGACGGTCTCTTCTCTTCTTCGCCACCTAAGCTCTCGATGTAACGTTATTAACTACGCCGACACGGAGAGAAAATGGAACGGGAGGGGCAGAAGGAGGGCCGAAGGAAAGGCTAGGGGAGGAACGGCCTTTCCCACATACATCCATCATAGGTTTTCTTTATTGGGCTGCTGGCTGTGTCTTTTCATGCTTGTGTCTCTTCCTACATGTTTTTTTTTTCGTTTTCTCTGGTGTCATTCCATGTTGTCGTTCTGAAAAATACCCAAAGCTCTTAGAAGGCGAAAAGAAAAGAACGTGGTTTGGGACGGGGCCAAAAATAGGCTGGTGGTGTTTTTTGTTTTGTTATGTTTTTTTTTCTCTCTCCTTGGCCCCGTCCCCCCCTTCCTTTTTTTTCCATCTTTTCTCTATAAGTTTGTATTGGAACGATGTACAAGGAATTGGATGAAATCCCACCTCCCTCGCCGTTCTCGTGGAAAGAAAGAAAGAAAGAGTGCAGGCCTTTTTTTCTTCCTTTTTTTTTTGTATTTACTTATTTAATTACAACGTCGCCGTGAGAACACATGGGGGGCATATTCTGTACCTAGTCATATCGTCGTGTTCGTTCCCTGCCCAGCCAGCTGGGCAATCCGTCATCAGTCATCCGTCATCCGTTGTTGATCACATTTGTTTTTTCTCGCAAGGGGGGGGGTCACCCTCGCCGCTTGGGCCCTCTTGGGCGTCAAGCCACGCAAGCGAGGGGGGGGGGATGATGTCCAACGACTGCTGATGCGAGTGTGCGCCGCGCCGGGTTCTTTCGGCGACGCCGAGGGAGGGCGAGGGGGGCCTGCGTCGGGAGCCGCGCTAGTAAAATGTCTCGGGCAGGGCCGCACAGGCGCGCCGGTTGTTGCTCGTGAGGCGAGGCGTTCGCCGGTCCTCCCCTGTCCCTTGCCGGAGATGCCTTCCACTAATGTGTGTATCCTTCATCATGGTCATTGTCATCATCATTATCATTATCAAAACCCAGCAGGGGAGAGCGTTCCTCGGTCCTCTCAGCCCGCCAGAAGAACGGCGGCCAGGCCGGCGACGAGCGCCCATGTCCCCGTCCGCCGACCCGGGGAGGAGGACCCGCCGGCGTCGGCGGCGGCGTTGTTGGCGGGCGCGACCATGATGGGCCTGTGCCAGCCGCAGTGGACCGAGGCCTCCTGCGTCACGCAGGAGTAGTAGGTCGTCTGGTAGTACCCCATCTCGGCGAGGTTCGGCTCCGGGCGCGGGGTGACGCCGGGGGCGGCCGGGAGGAGGGAGGCGTAGTCGCGGGGGCCGGAGTCCGCGGGCGTCTCGACGGCGGCCGCTGCGGCGGCGATGGCGACGGCGGAAACGGCGAGGGAGGCGGAGGCGGAGGCGGAGGCGGGGGTCGGCGTGACGGCGGGGTCTTGCGGGGGCCTGCGGTGGAACCGGGCCGGACCTAGACGCAGGGGTCTGCGGGAGGCGGCGTCGGCGCAGGGCACGGTGGAGTTCGCGGCGGGGGACGAGGAGTTGGTCGAGGGGCGGCCTTGGCGGGGCAGGGTCGAGTAGATCGGGGACGGGGCCGGGGCGGGGCCCGTGGAGGCGGCCTCGGTCGGGAGGAAGGGCTCGGCTGGCGGCCGCAGGAACGGCGAGGCGGGCGAGTCTGGCGGACTCGTGGGGGCGGGCGGCGGAGATGTCGGTGTGGCTGGCGTCGCCGGGAGGGCGGCGGCCGAGGAGGCGAAGAGGATGAGGAGGAAGGAGAAGGGGTGGCGCATGTTGGCTCGCGGTTTGTTTTTGGCGACGGGCGTTGATGGATGGGAGGAAGCCGGGTTCGGTAAGACGATGTTTATGAACTGGTAGCTGAGTAGTGAGACCGGCTCTCGAGAGGTGTTTCTCAGTGTGTCAAATTTGTCACAGAGACCTTGTGCGAATGGAAGAGAGGCGGGGAGTAACTGAATGGAATCGAATAGTGCAAGAGACCGGGCAAAGGAGGGGAGACTATGACACGGCCAGCGTCATCGACGTCGACGAAGAAAAAGGAGAGCGAGGAAACAAGGAGGGAGAGAGAGTCAAGTGCGTGGCAGGACCGGCCGGGCATATGTCTGTTTTTTTATCTTCTTTTTTCTTTTCTCTCGTCATCCCGGCAGCCCCAGCCATCTAGAACCACCTCGGAATGCTACTCGGTACTGACGCGAAAAAGGGTTGACTTGGTGGTGTATGGTGGATGGCTATTCAGCTCCCCCCACCGGCGTGGCATGCCATGCAGGAGGAGGAGTCACGGTGGATGACTAGGACGTGTGTTTGTTTCCCAGCGCATCACAACGCGGGAGAGGGGGGGGGGGAGAAATCGCGTTTCCACAAGTTCGAAGCCCAGCAGCCCAAGCCGCAGGGAAGAAGTCAGGTTTCGTTTTGTTTGGTCGTTGCAAGGGGGGTGGAAGGGGGAGGAATGGCTTTGGGAAGAGTCACGCAGCTGGGGAGAGCTGTGGGTTTTTTTGGGGGGTGTTTGGTGATGGTGCAGGTGCTTGGAGACGATTGGGTCAGAAGAGTCGCGTGTTTAGGTGTTCGCTGGCGCTGTAACTGTTCAAGGGGGGGCTCTTCATTGGGGGTCAAAGGCGGGAATTGGAGACGCTTTAATGCAAACTGGGATGCACCGTATTTCTTTATCGACAGTCGAGGACGAACCGGTTATTCATCCAAGCTAATCAGCCTACCTCACATCGATAACCTGCATGTCATGTCTCGCGCCGGTGCCCGGAGGACCACGGGTCCGCTGACCGTGTGCCGCACGAGCCCTCCGCCTCTCCGACCAATCCGGCCCCACCGGCTCCGGACAGACGGGACGCTGTAGCGCCGCGCACGCGGTCCGCGACGACGCATGTCATCGGCGGCGAACCCCCGGCCAGCTGCCTCGGTGGTAGGAAAGCTTCCGCCTCCGAGCGGTCGGGCGGCCGTTTGAACGAGGATCTTGGCCGCGACGCGCTGCTCGAAGTGCAGGCCCCCCTGGGTCATCCGGGGCCCCGGACATCAGTCGCTGGAATAAACTCGCTCGGGTGGGTGGATCTTGTTGTCCATCGGTAAATTCGTCATTCGCCCGGTGGCCTCCGCGAACCGGCGGGGTGACTCAATTTGTTCCTTGTTGCTCTTACCCAAGAAACACGGGAGTACGGGTTAAGATCAAAACCAAGGAACTCTTGAAACACAAAACCCCATTACCCTCTTAAATGTCGGAAGCGCATTGCTCTGACCGACTCGTCAGTGCTTCAACGCCCCGTTCATCTTTGGGAAGATGGCCGACACCCGCTTTGCGCGCCGCCGCATGTCGCGTGTCACCAGGTTGCAGTGCGAGGTGGTTCTTGTCTATCCGACGTAACCCGGAACCCGAGCCCCCATGTCCGCGGTCACTTGCCTCTTACCCATAACGCTGGTGAGGAGCTGTAACGTCGGTTTCACCCCCGTGACTAATACGAAAGTTCCATCATGGCTGTGCTCACACTGTGGGGCCGAGGTTTGCTGTGTATGTATGTAGCGCGATGTGCAAGACTATGGAAGAACCCAATTCATACGACGGCCCCATGATGAATCACATTCACTCATGGAGGCCCTCGGCTATACCCTCGATTTCCGTGGATACGATGGACCCTTCAGGATTATCTTCTGAAGCCGAGCCGTCTGCAATCGACGAGCTGCAATCGGCCCTAGGCTCGATTCTCATCGCCGAAGAAGACAGGTCCACCAAGCCCTGGACCTCGTCACCCGCATGTGTTCCGTTCCCCGATGGCAAAGGAACCGTTCCCGCCATCTTCGCCTGTCCCCGCGAGGTCCGTGACAGGATCTACTATTATTACCTCTATCGCGAAAACCAAGCCTACTACAGCCGCGGCGCGTCGGCGCGATGGCCCTTCCTCGCCAGCGAAGACGTCGTGTCGCTGTTCCAGACGTGCCAAAAAGTCTACCGAGAGGCCGTGGAAGTCTTCCACCGCTACAACCAGGTCGAAATCGGCTCCGAGCCGCGGCTCGAGGCGGGTCCCGTAAAGGTGCTTGACAGGTTCCCGGCCGCGCACGCGCAGGCGTTGCAGATGTGCTGCAGGCAGTACGGCGAATACGGCGCGCTGTACGTCAGACACGGCCCCTTGAAGCACCACGCCGGCGAGCTGTGGCACATGGTCATCCGTGACGCGTACCTGTTCAAGTCCCGCTTCCCCAAGCTGCGACGTTTCACGGCCATCCTGAACGTGCGCCCGAGGTACTTCGAAGAGCAGGAGGGGATGGTGTTGGACGGCAAGACCGAGGAAGAGAAGGTACGGATCTGGATGGAGTGGGTGAGGTTCTCGACCGGCAAGATGAGGGCCTTGCCGCCCCTGTGGATGAAGATCCGGCTCGCGCTCGGGCCGCTCCAGGGCGACAGGCAGCCGCACCAAGACTCGCTGAACGAAGCACAAGTCAGGTTCGCAGAGGAACTCGCGGCGGAGGAGGGGGTGGACGATCTGGATGCGCTGGGCGGCACGTGGGCGGAGGAGACGGGCAGCGAGAGGGCGAAACTCGCGGAGAAGAGGCGGACTGATAAGGGAATGGGATCGGATGTAGGTCAGCCGGGGCGAATGGGAGCATCCTCGGCCGGTCACGTATAATCGCAGTTGGTCATCATGTCCACCGGAAAGGGAAAAGGTGAGAAGACACACTAGTTCGCAGAGCTCGTCGGCGATAATTAGACGTACCTCTAACACCTACCCGCGGGTGATTCAAAATGGCAACGGCCCATAACATACAAGGACAGAATTGAGGCTCGATATCCAGAGTTTCTTTTTCTGCTTGTTATTATGGTATGTCTTGTCTCTGACACAATCTGCACTCGATGCTTGAGAATCAGTCAATTCTGCTACAGGCTATAATTGTGTAGGAAGGCACGTATTCACAACTCACCGCAGAGTTGTAGAAGCTGATCCCGAACAAGTGATATAGCCGTCCACATGGAAATCTCAGCAACCTTTCCAAAGTCCCGTCGGCCGTGGTAGTGCTTCTTTCACGGCGCATTCCCTCCAGTCATTTTGCCGCCCGGATCACCGCGGAAGTAGAAACTGGTTGTTATGAATATGTCTCTCTCTCGCAGGCCTCGTAAGGGCTAGGACTCACCGAGAGATACAAGGGCTAAGCTTTCTTCCCCGGCTTGTTCGTCCGAGAAATTGGAGAAGCAGCTTGTCAGTGCGCGGGAAACCCGCGTGTGGCAATGCACACCCACGAGATTCGGATCATGATCGTTTTCCGCGATGGTACGGTGAAGGGACCACTGACCAGGCACGTTCCTGACTGACACTGAGTTATAAGCAGCTAATAGCTTAATCATGTATAAAAAGCCGCCTTGGTAGCTTAGACTAGTTGTTTGTTTAGGCAACACTCTCCCAATTATTATTACATCATGGTCATAATCGTACTGCAGACAACGGCACTCGAGCGAACCAATTACTGATCACAGAGCATGCAGTTACATGTATGTTGCTTACAGTCCGTCATGGGCAGTTTTCCCCCGCCTCCTTAAACGTCATCTCATGTGTCTCACATGAGCACCGCCAAGATGCACATATACGGCATGGCCCGAGCTGCAAGGGGGAGGGGATGGCATCCAAGTCAACTTCTCGACACATGCTGTCAGGTTTTCCAGCTTGGCCAAGCAACGTCAACCTGATCATCATTTGACCACCATGATCGGCCCCTGTCGATGATCTCGTCCAATGGCCACATGCCCTCCCACTGTTTCTTTGGATGTCCTTCCAAAAGAAATACTCATCTTGATACTTGCCGAACTACCCGACGTCAGGGCTCTGTATCAACTCATTCGGGCTTCGCCTGCCGCTTGCCGCCTCTACACAGCAGTCGGCGCCGAGGTACTGGAGAGAGTCCTTGCCCGGTCTGTGCCTGCGCAGATCCATCAACTCATCCGGCTCGTGGGGGTCATACGCACGTCAACACTGAGCAGTCCAATAGCGCCTTCCTTCCAAGCTTTCCTGGGCCAGTACATCCGTCCTGCAGCGGATGACAAGGAGTATTTCCCGTTGTCTCCGCCTCTCAGCCAGATATGCAGCGGTGAGAAGGAGCTTGGGGCCGTCAGGAAATTGCTCTTGATCGTCCGGCGCATAGCTTGCCTGACCTCGCTTTGCATTGCCAGCTACCGCGAAAGATGCCTCTCGATAACGCCATCTCACAAAACCGAGCGGGAAGGCTCGTCCTACGGGATTGCATCGAAGCCCTGGGAGGAACGTTCCGACGGCACGCCTTACCGGCCCCGAGACGTGGGCCCGCCAGCATGGATCGAAGAGCAACGTGTGGTGCGCGGGCTCTGGAGGCTTCAGGTGTTTCACGAGTTGAAAACAGCGTTATCCGAAGATGGCACTGGGTGGTCCGAACGAGACAAGCGGGAGGCCGCTGACATGACACTTGAAGACCTCTTCAATGGCTGGGGTCCACAGCTAGAGGAGGTCCTCACCGTGGTGGATTTCGTGCGCGAATACACAATCAAACCAGAAGAACGCCTTGCCGTTCAAGGCTGCGACGTGAGGCTTCCGGACCCGCAAACAGACAACGGTTCGGCCCCTTCGTGGCCAGTATTATGCCAGGCGCCCCCGATGGACGCCTGGCCGGGCTGGACCAGGCGGTTGAACGCGCCGCCGACGGCATGGGCGTTTTTCGTCCATCTCCGCACCAACCCGCGCTCTCCTATACGCGGTGTCGAATTCTGGCCGTTTCGGAAATTGGGCCTCGCGATATGGGGGCGGGAAAAGCTGGCGAAGCTGGAGCTGACGAACCCGGCCGGAGTGGCTGGGAGCAAAGGGCCGTTGGGGAGCCGGGAAGACGTAGAGTTCACTTGGCGAAGTCTTCTTCCGAACGACTACCTGGTCCGTCTTGAACAAAGGTTGGAGGAAGATTGGCAGGACTCTAGAGACGAGGAGTAGCTAGTATTCTCTTCTTGTCAGTATGCATAGCAAGCAACCTGTCAAATGTGTCTCAACAGACTCCACCGCTGCAATATATCAGGCAATTGGCCAGATTTCAGATCATGATGCCGACATAAGGTTGTCATAGACAATACAGTTAACCATCTAGACTTGCAAGCCAGCTCAATCATCAGGTGCCTACGCTTGTATACCTGCATCGCCCGTTCAACCAAGGCAGGTGCTTGGTGTAACTTGTTTGCATTCGCGCGTCGAACTGTTTGTCTGGAGACATTGGGAATTTCTGCCGAGATTGCACTTCCGGGATCCCGGAGCGGCCGTGCGCGAACCGGAGCTGAAGGCCCCCCCCCCCCCCCCCCGCGGCCGGGACTACATACGGAGAGCGGCGTCCGCCCGCATTGCAAAGTCGGGTGGGTGATTTAATAATGAGCCGTCGCCCGAAAGCCGGAGGGCATGATGGGCTAGATGCTGGCTAGCGCATGTGTCTTCATGCAGCGACGGCGTTGGGTTAGATTACCTGCCAGATCCAAGTGATACACCCACTGCACACACCCAGGTAAATCCCACGACGCAATCAACTCACCATAAATAAGCCTGACGTGGGTGTGTCCATCATGTTTTCAACCAAGCGAAAGGCTCGGGTCTCCGAGGGATCCGAGTCCAGCGAAACTCTGCTAATCAGTCCGACCCTCCATCAGCACCAAAAGAAAAAAAAAAAAGAAAAAAAAAAGACAGTGCAGCCGAGGCCCAGAGTGACGTGAGATGCATTGTCCATCCATTCATTCCCCGAGAGAAAATTCCAAATGAGCGAATGTTCAAGGGGTGAGCCGAGGCCCAGCACACACTCACACACTCACATACACACCAAGACAGGCCCGTCCAGGTACCACGACACCAAGACCACGGCACCATCCCACACACCGTCACTTGCACCCAAAGCCTCAATATTGAACCCAGTCCAGGGAGTGGGGGTGCCATATCTTGCTGTGATAAGGCTGCGAATGCGCCAATTACCCCCTTACCCAGAACGGACCGAACGACCGACCGGGTGGGTGGGTGGATAAGGACACTCGCGCCGCCGCGCATTGCGAACCGTCGGTCCGCGTTCTCGCCGGATTTTAAATAAATCCAGAACCCCCCCCCCCCCCCCCCCCCAATGTCACCCTCTCCCTCCCTCCTTGCTCAATGCTCCAGCACGCTCTGGTGTCACCTCCGCTCCCTACCACTCTGGGCCTTCGTCCTCGTCGTCCTGCTCCTCGGCGCCGTCCGCCAGCGCGTGCTCCCTTCTCGTCGTCCTCCTCCACCTCCTCCTCCCCGACGGCCCGCCACCGCCGCCGTCGCCGACAAGACGAGGAGATCCCCCAGCCCGCCTTCCCTCACGTCGTCCTGAATTAAAAGGCAGACAGACATAAGAATCCATCGCAACCCGGGCCTGACCTCGACAACCCTCGCAATGGCGTCCGCAATCGCAAAGGCGACCCGCACCGAGGCCGACTTGGACCGCGTCCCCGTCCGCGTCGTGCGCTTCGTCCGCCTCGCCACCGCCGGCGGTCTGGCCTACGCCGCCTACCGCATCCACTGGCGCGTCCTCCTCGCCAACTTCTTCACCGGCCCCGGCCGCATCAGCCGCATCCTCATGCTCTTCTTCGCCCTGCTGAACCTCAAGAACATGCCCTTTGTCTGGACCGTACGTTCTTCCCCACCCCCCGAGAAGCTTGGATGAGAAAAGAAGAGAGAGAGAGAGAGAGAGAAAGGGCATCCCCGAACTGACGAAACGTCCATATCCACAGTACCGCGTGTGGTCCGCCATCATCTACCACCTCTTCATCCGCAAGTCCCCCCGCCTCGGCCCGCGCTCCCTCTTCCGCCCCATGATCAGCCAGTCGCACGCGCCCATCACCGAGATCGACTACAACATCCACAAGTCCAACTCGACCTACTTCGCCGACCTCGACGTCTCCCGCACCCACCTGTGCACCTACCTCCTCCGCCCCGGCTTCCGCCGCCTCGCCCACAACGCCACCACCGGCCTAGATGCCCGACTCGCCAATCTACTAAAAGAGCTGCAGCTTGGCTGACGAGTTTCTACTCCATTGATCGGACGAACTTGGCTGTGTTGTGCCCTTCCCACTTAAAAGCGTTCAGTTTCCGACCACGATCAAGTTCGGTCAGCCAGGGCATATTGTCATGTCCAAAGCCATTGGGCACGAATCTCGAGACCGAACGTCCCCAAACCGAATGACTTGCGCCAAACATCCTACCGGCCATCTCGCGCACTCAAGTAATTATGCGTCCCTCCGCTAAAGTAGGATGAATTCTCGTACCAAATCCCGGATTAAGTTGGATTCGTAACTCCAGGCTTAGGTTCAATAGTGGAAAGCAGAGGGGGGCAAAGAGGCTCTCTGGCCGTTACTCTTTCCCACTCTGGCCCCATCATCGCCTTCTCGCCATCTCAGGAATAGTTTTGCTGGTTCTCTCCTACAATTCGTGAAGTCGTTGTTAACGGGCCTCGGGCAGGCCCGCCCGCGGGCCCCTCGGCATCATGCTCGGCGCCGTCCACTGCTCCTTCCGCCGCGAGATCACCGCCTACGCCCCCTACGAGATGTGGTCCCGCGTCCTCTCCTGGGACCGCAAGTGGCTCTACATCGTCACCCACTTCGTCCCCAAGGGCACAGCCCGCCCGACCGAGTGGCTCGACCCCAAGTTCGGCACCGCCCGCGTGCGCCGCGGCCCCGGCGCCCCCGGCACCACCGACAGCAAGGAGTGGGAGAAGAAGATCTACGCCACCGGCGTGAGCAAGTACGTCTTCAAGATCGGCCGCCTCACCGTCCACCCGGCCGTCGCCCTCGAGGAGAGCGAGCTGCTGCCCCACCGCCCCGACGGCGGCTGGCAGGGCGGCCCCAACGGCGTCGGCGACGAGGACCTCGACCTGAGCGACGTCGCCGACGACGGCGCCTGGGACTGGAGGATGGTCGAGAAGAGGCGCCGCGAGGGCATGAAGTACGCCGCCCGCTTCGCCAGCATGGACGACCTGCACGGCTGGCTCGACGGCGCCGACGGCGGCGACGGGAGCGCGCTGGCCAAGTTTGGCGGCTGATCCATCGCCGTGTCGTGTGGTGAAGGCGAAGGGGGGGAGGGGGCAGGGCGAGGGACGATTGATACCCGATAGAAATTTTTGTCCCTGGAATATTAGATAGACTAGGTTTGGGCCGTACAAGGACCTGGCCAAGGCCAGGCGAGGGCAAGGCACACATTGCATGTGGGAGGGCCATGGTTATTTTGTTTTCTTAACGGGCTGTTCGCTACACCTGCCGATAGAGCTAGACGTGCGCGCGCATCGATTATACATGAATTGCATTATCAAATACACACTTGGTTATTTCTTTTATTTGTTCCCCTTTGCCTGATGAACTCCGCAACACCCCTTACCGTGACGACCTCGACGAATATGGTTGAATGAAGGAAACAGGCTGTACAAAATCTCGAATGACGCATTACAAATAGGGCTTCAAAGGGCGGCAACGATAGCGGCGGCGGCGGCGGCCATGGCACCGACCCAGCCAGCAGCCTGCACCTTGTCAGCGGCGGCGGGCGGCGTGGCCGACGTGGCCCCGGCTGCCGTCGGGCTACTGGCGTCAGCGGCGGCGGCGACGGTGGTCTGGCCGATTTGAGCGCAAATCTGAGGTGTGATCCGGAAGACCGCTGTTGGTTACACACGTTAGTTGGATGATCGGGCCTCCCCGAGGTGGCAAACGTACTGGCTTGGTCTGCAGTGCTGCAACCGGATGTGGCGAGGCAGGAGACGACTTTGGGGGTCAGCTCCGAAATCTTCCCGCACGAACAGGCAAAGTTTGTAATGTCGCATCCGACCGCAGTTGATTGGTCGCTGATACAAGTGACGGCGCAGGTAGGGATCTGGTCGACAAGCTGGTTAACCGTGTCGGCAGCGACGATGGCGGCGAGCAGGGAAATGATGGCGGTGTACTTCATCTTGGCAAGTATTGACGAGTCAGTTTGGGCCTCGGAATCTGGGAAATAGTGGTCGGGAATGGTTTGATAGATGCTGCGATGAGACTTTGAGTGGAGCGTGAGGTGTAGATGTTGTAGCAGAGCACGTCTTTATCATCTACAAGCCAGTCAGCCGAGGAGGGGTCATGGTGATCTTATAGACAAGACCATCTTCGAGTCCGTTAAGCCGCAGTCTAAGCAGCAAATGAACGCCGGAATGGACGCGTCCAGCCAAGTCGTCTACCTACTCAAAGCTTCCCAACACAGTCAAGATGCGGTCAACGCCAGCCTTCCGTAGATATCTTGCATCCCGGATTAGGTTAAGACGGTTTCTCGGGTCGACGCCCGTGCAATCCATTTCAACTCGTCTCTGGCGGCTTGTCGACTATTGGCTTAATGCTGCCACGGCGTCCTGAGCATGAGGCACCTGCCATCTAGTAGGATGGGCTGCTTAGACTGGCTCGGTAGTTTTCCTCCGTTGCTTCTCTAATATTATGTAGCAGTCCGAGGCGCAAAGTTCCAGCTAGCCGAGGCTCGATAGCACAAAGACGGCTCGGCCTGGTCCTAGGTCAGTTAGTACCTAGCATCCATTTCCCACCCTTGGGTCAAACCCGACCCTCCGCAAACGTCCGCTTGGCGCATGTCGAAGAACAACGAACAGCCTTTGCAAAGCGGAATGGCTGAATGGCTGTGCGAGGGTGATTTTTTTTTGTTTCTCCGAGGAAGTCTAGACTATAGAGAAGAACGCGTCTCCCGACAACCGTTGTGCCTTGGATTTGGCAGACATGTCGTTAACCATCTGCCATCTCAGCCTGTGGTTTGAGAAAATTTGGCGTAGGGAAGGTCGATTAAGCTCATCCGGCATCATGTAAGCTGCCTGCAGGCCCCTGTCAACAATGCAGATCAGAAGGATGGTCGAGATACCTGGCCAATCATATTCACCCTTTCCCCGGCGGACGGGTCACAGTGGCAACATACACCTGCATTAGCCGTCATTCACCATCTCACATATACCCTTAACTTGATGGTGCGATGATAGGGGCTCCTGTGGGACTTGCTTTATCGAACTGCTGTCTAGTTGCCACTGGGTCGAGGATAGATGTAATGCAGACAGGCCTACCGCGAACTTATTCTAGACCTATGCTGTCGAATATGTTGCCCGTAGGAGATTGCCACCTCACATTTTTGTCGTTAACTCATAGGTTTTGGCTGCCTTCCCCGATCCGCTCGCTTGGGATTTCAAGTGTGAGGGCAGACTGTAACCATCAAGAGTGGCATCACCGCTTTCTTCGGTGTTTTCTCTCTGAGCGTGAATGTTGGCACGCCACTGTCGCTCGCTAAGTAAAACGCGGGATCCATCCATGCGAATCGCATTGGAAAACGTGATATGGTCTACCTGTGTGGGAAACAACAGTCTCAGAAAGCACCTCGCCGAAACGAAGACGGCCCTTGAGCGTTCCCGACGTGATCTGCAAGCGTGGCTTTGTCAATTCCAAGCAGTATCCAGGCTTCATTGTGCCCTCGCCGAGGGAGCCGGAGCTAAATGTCCAGGGCTTCAGCGGCAGGTGAAAGCAATGGCGGACTTGGCATAGATACGGAATGGTCGGTTGTCATATTGTACCTATGAGCGGAAAGGAATGCAAACGGGAAGTCGGAGACAACCGAGAGCAATTCATCAAACACGAGGCAGTGATTCGACATCACGTGGTGTGATTGGCTCTGGCATGGTGGTCACATTGCCAAGGCGCGTCTTCCCGGATCAGTTGTTCTAGCAGGATTCTCGGATCTCTCAGATAACTGCATGTTCCGCTGGTGTTGGAGCTCGAATGAGTGGCCGACGCCGGAGGTGGATTATAGCTCTGCTGCTTTGGCGAATATATCAGTCTCTACCAAGACCAAGAAACGGATCGGAAGAACCAGTTGAGATGGCATGTTGCCATGAATGTTTGTTCAGCCGGTGCTCTAGTGCAAGTCGGAGTAGAGGCTGCACATTGACGATAGGGTCCAACGTTGGCGGCGCAGATGGCATTTATTCTTGACAGACATTCCGGCGTATTCAATTGGTTGATATCACTGACGGCGCCGCCGCTGCTTTCGTCTGCTGTCTAAAAGGGCTGAAAAGTCAATGTGATGATGGACGGGAGTCGAGAGACGGGAGGCGCAGTTGTCTAGGTTTCTCGGAGCCCTGAACCAATCGTAGACGACGCGTTTTTGCCATTGAGTGCAGGACGGGCGCAGATTCGGAATTATAGAACAGCTGTGAGCGAGTTGAAGGTCGACATCATGATGAAGATGCTTGAGAAGGAAGTGGAAACTAGGTAGGGAAAATGGAAATCGGGTGAGGACCCATGACGGTCAGAATTGCTGCTTGGTAACGGGATGAAAATAGAAAGACCCACCCACAGTGCATACTGTGCAAAGATAGACAGATGCTACGGTGCATCGCTGCCCCTCCATGTGTACCTAGGTAGGTGTAGGCAAGTACCTGCCTACGCTACACCGCGGGGCATTGGTTCCTTGCTTGGACAAAGTCAGCTTCCCCCAACGCGATAAAGAACCCTCCCGCTCACTCAACCAAACCCCAGCGCTGCCAAACATGACGGAACAGCCGGTATCAGTTCTCTTCGTTTGCCTCGGCAACATCTGCCGCTCGACCATGGCCGAGGGCGTGTTCCGCAACATTGCGCAGAAGCCGCCGTACAAGGGCCTCATCGCCAAGGTGGATTCTTGCGGTACAGGTACGGGCGAAATACGTCATGGAATCAAGTCTCGGTATCTCTTGTTGCGCAGCCGGCTGACACGAGAACGACGGGACAAACAGCCGCCTATCACGTCGGCGACCCCCCAGACTCCCGGACGATGGCGACGCTTGAAGACCACGGTATCACGGATTACCGCCATGCCGGTCGCAAGGTACGACGGCTGTTTCTCCTCGAACCTTGGGCGCGCTACCCCTCCCGCCCCGAGCGCGTCGGCCGAGGAGCCACGTAACGAACAGTAAGCTGACGCGAGTCTCTGTGACGGGCAGGTGTCGCCATCCGATTTCAACAAGTTCGACTACATTTTCGCCATGGACCGATCAAACCTGCGAGACCTCCAGAACCTCCAGCAGCGCGGCAACCCGGACTCAAAGGCCAAGGTGATGCTGTTTGGCGAATTCTCGGGGGGCCGGAGGCCGGAAGTAGTAGAAGATCCGTACTATGGCGGCGACGAGGGCTTCTCCAAGGCCTACGAGCAGTGCACGCGGTTTTCCGGCAACTTCCTGAAACACATCTTCCCCCACATCGACCCCAAGGTATAAGGCGCACGGCGATTCACTCTCAAGGGGCACCGACAAGCGCCGGAGAGCAAAGGTAAGCAGCTCGCACGTGATTAGTCATGGAGAGGCAAGGCAGTTGGAAGGCGGCATGGATATTGCATTGCAATATGGACATATTCCGCCGTTGCAGAAGAAGAAAAGGCCGACGATAACCACGTCTACGGTACGGCGCAGAGCGAGGGCAGGGGAAGGAAAGGGCCACTATAGAAAGGGGGAGAGAGAGAGAGAGAGAGAAGAAGAAGAAGGAAAAAAAAAAAAAGAGAACCCCGACACAACCAGCTGCATTGGTGAAGTGATTATCCGGCAGACAGACAGACAGACAGACGGGCATTGGGAGAGGCATATTAGCGTGTCTTGTTGATTCCACAAATGCAATTTGCATATAAAGGGTTTGATTTCTCAAACCGTCCCCGTTCGCGGCCAATGAATGAGGTACTCTTGGCATCACAGAGGCACAGTATGTCGGAATCGACGATAAGACGAATGGAAAGGAGGCAGTCTCCAGCCCTATACGCTGCAGACACATGGGAGGAAGGATAACGTAGGTAGGTCGTGACCATGATGGCCCAGCCTACCAGTAGTGCCGTCACGGTTGTGCCGGCTTACGCCGAGCTGGATCACGTCAGGCGTCCAACACTTGGAGCGACGCTTCGTGCTGACGGCAGGCAGCGTCATCTTTAAGGGCTGTTATGGTGTCGGCTTTTCGCGAACGAGGGGGTCTTGCTCTTGGGAAACACCGGAAGCCGATATGTCTCGTTGGCTGAGGCGATATGTTCACTGCGAATATACATAGCATGCAGGTATGCAGGTAGGTAGGTAGTAAGTAGGGTACCTACCTACGGTACCTAGGCAATCTCGGTGTTTCTCACGCTGACAAGGCGAATCCCTCGGCGAGAGTGTGCGGCTGAGATGGCTGACAGCGATCTACCCGCACTAGTAGTATGAAACCAGTACGGGTACCAACCGTTACGGAGTAGGTATCCGTACTGCACTATGCAAAACCTTTCTTCAGGTCCGGGGTTTGGTCTCGAGAGATTTTCACCGCATATCCCAGCCGGCCGGGGTCACTCGCCGAGGGGAAGGGGGGAAACATTGAAACCCAAACCCTCGGCCCCAGCAATGAGTCCTGTTTCTTCTCAGCATCCTCTAGGGTCGACCCATAGGCAACTAACTGACTCTCACTGGAATTGCCATATAGGTAGTTTACTTGTAACTAACACACTTGTCTGGTCTTGGTATTTGCCCACGATCTCTCTCTCTCTCTCTCTCTCTCTCTCTCTCTCTCTCTCTCTCTCTCTCTCTCTCTCTCTCTCTCTCTCTCTCTCTCTCTCTCTCTCTCTCCCTCTCTCCCTCTTTCACACACACCAAGGATGAATTTTTGTTTTTTGTCGCGCGGTTGCAGAGCTGCAGTCCCAATCACGGTGCTCAGCGGTTACCGGCCCCGAGGCAAATGGTTCAGAAACAGGCCAATGACAAGCGTCAGAGAGCCCATGTCAGCAAATCAGGAGTGGTACCGGGGGTGATGTGCGGGTCGCTCCCGCCAAGTCGCTTCCGGCTTAACGTCAGCAAACCTGCACCTTGTACCCTGTACTTTTGGAGTACGGTATCTCCTCCTAGCAGCTGGAGCATCGACTCGGAGACAGCTGAGCTTCTTGCTTGCTTACTTGCTCGGTAGCTATCTCCAATGCTGCTGTGGCATGAATAGGGAGGGGCCTTTGCCAGTACCAAGATAGAGAGAGAGAGAGAGCTCTAGTATTGGCACGCACGGTACGATTAACAAGACGTGGCGGAATCGCAGGAACATTGTATTGCATCCTCCGTTCTAATCCCGGGTCCCATCCAATCCAAACGACGACAGTCCACTTTGGTCAAAGTATGACAGGACAGCTGCCCCTCCTTTCTCCATTCCCGTCGAGGTCCAGTCCAGTCCCTGGTGCGCCCATGGTGTGTGTGTGTGTGTGTGTGTGTGCTGCCCCTCCTCCCTCCCCCCTCACCTCGCCTTGTGCTTTCGCATCTGGTCCTGCCCAAAGTCGGTATGGTATGTACACGTACCGTACGTACCTACTCCCTTGCTTTTGACCTTTTCTCGACTTCTCCCATAAGCCAGCAGCCCAGAAGTGGTGCCTGAACCAAACATGCCCATCCCCCTACTACACCATGTACACTACCAAAAGGTAGGTAAACTACCTACCTGCTCAAGTACCTATCCCAAGGTATCTTCTCCTCGCACCCCCCCCCAAACTACTAATTGCACAATATCTGCCTCTCCCTCTTGCTGCCATTCTTGCGCTTTCCCCTTCTTTCACAACCCAGCATCCTTTTAAACAGCCAAGGATCCCACACAAAGCAATAGACTTCCTGCAGGACAAGGACGAAGATTGTTTCGGCGACACTGCATTGTCACCCTTCATCCTGAACCGAGTAGACCGGAAGCAACAAGGAAGAGAAGGGGTGAAAAAGGGGGCCATATAATACCTTACGGCCTCCCCTCGTCGACTCGCCTGCTTGAACGATCCATCTTTCTTTCTTCACCTTTGCCTTGAGCCTCGCTTCCCTCCCTGGTCTGTTCCGCAACTGTCGCATCGCATCGCATTCCTTGCTTGCTTCCCCACCTTTGCCTCGATTTGACTCGCCAAAAAGATACCCCCTCCTCGTTTTCAAGACCTTGGACACACGCCAACAACTCGACCACTGGAACGAATCCACAACAGCTTTCCCGCAGTGAACCCCGACCCGACCGAAGAAAGAGAGACAGAGATTGAGAGAGATTGAGAGAGAGAGAGAGAGAGAGAGAGAGAGAGAGAGAGAGAGAAAGGGCAAAACAACCAACAACCTCGCAAAAATGGCTGATCTGCAGGGACGCAAGGTCTTCAAGGTCTTCAACCAGGACTTCGTCGTCGACGAGCGATACACCGTCACCAAGGAGCTCGGCCAGGGAGCTTACGGCATCGTCTGGTGTGTACACCGTTTCACTGTTTCCCCCTCCCCCCCCTCATCCCGCCGGCCTGCGGCCATTTTCGCTGCCCCGCCATTGCGCCCATGACATGAAGCTGACGACCTTCCCCCCTCACGCAGTGCTGCTGTGAACAACCAGACTCAAGAGGGTGTTGCTATCAAGAAGGTTACAAATGTCTTCAGCAAGAAGATCCTCGCCAAGCGCGCATTGCGCGAGATCAAGCTGCTCCAGCACTTCAGGGGACACCGCAACGTGAGTCCTTTGTCACCCGTCTCCCCCTACCCCGCGCGCGCCGTCGTCAGCGCCGCCACCCACGCGGCTGCACGAAATGCCCTCGGTAGAATGCTGACAGCCTGCCGCGATAGATCACCTGCCTGTACGATATGGACATTCCCCGACCCGATAACTTCAACGAGACCTACCTCTACGAAGGTACGTACGCATTTCCAATGCGCTTGCAGACAGACCCTCTGTCCAGCCAGACCTAGCTTGCTGACCCGTGCTTCGTGCTCCAGAGCTGATGGAATGCGACCTGGCTGCCATCATCCGATCCGGCCAGCCCCTGACCGACGCCCACTTCCAGTCCTTTATCTACCAGATCCTCTGTGGCCTCAAGTACATCCACTCCGCCAACGTCTTGCACCGCGACCTGAAGCCCGGTAACCTGCTCGTCAACGCCGACTGCGAGCTCAAGATTTGCGACTTCGGTCTGGCGCGTGGTTTCTCCGTCGACCCCGAGGAGAACGCCGGCTACATGACGGAGTACGTTGCCACGAGATGGTACCGTGCCCCCGAGATCATGCTGAGCTTCCAGAGCTACACCAAAGCCAGTACGTGTTTACAGCGCCTAGCATCGCGAATCATGTTTGGACGGGCCGGCTAACAATCGTGATAGTTGACGTCTGGTCTGTCGGGTGCATCTTGGCCGAGCTGCTCGGCGGTCGTCCCTTCTTCAAGGGCCGTGACTACGTCGACCAGCTGAACCAGATTCTTCACATCCTCGGAACGCCCAACGAAGAGACTCTGTCTCGCATCGGCTCGCCCCGTGCTCAGGAATACGTGCGCAACCTGCCCTTCATGCCCAAGAAGGCTTTCCCCAGCCTGTTCCCTCAGGCGAACCCCGACGCCCTCGACCTGCTCGACCGCATGCTTGCCTTTGACCCATCGAGCCGCATCAGTGTCGAGCAGGCCCTCGAGCACCCCTACCTTCAAATCTGGCACGACGCTTCCGACGAGCCCGACTGCCCTACAACCTTCAACTTCGACTTTGAAGTCGTCGAGGACGTCGGCGAGATGCGCAAGATGATCTTGGACGAGGTCTACCGCTTCCGCCAGCTGGTCCGCACCGTCCCCGGAGCCACCCAGGCTGGCTCGCAGGCCGCCGGCCAGCAGCCAGGTGCCAGCCAGGTCCCCATCCCGTCAGGAAACTCCGGATGGACGTCTTCGGATCCCAGGCCGCAAGAGTACGCCGGTCAGGGGGGTGGCCTGGAAGCCGACCTTGCCGGCGGTCTTGATCACCGAAGATAAGAAACCTGCATTGGTCATGGACATACGCGCGCACCGATGGGAACGAGTGTGTGGGGAGGCTGTGTCTGACTCGCAGAAAGCACCGGCGGGCCGTTTTGCGATCATTGGACATGATGTCATTTCGAGCTTAAGCAAACCAGAGGTCGAGACGCCTTGGGCCGCTAGAAGGCGTAGGCATTGTTTTGGACGGCGAACTTTTTTTCCTTTTTTTTTTTCGATACGGGAGGGAAGAAGCAAAAAGAGGAGGATAGGCAAGAAGAGGAGGGCATGGGAGAGGAGGAAAGGCGACTAGACCGCCCGACTTTGAGGGGAGATGAACGAACACGGCCAAGATGATGAGAAATCCCCCAATTTACTTAGACAGTAATTCCCAACCTACGATTCTACATCCGTGGCCGACAACATCTTTTTTTCTTTATTTCTTTTCTCGGAATCGCATCGCTCCATGGATGCCCAGTCGAAGTGAGCGGTGGGTGTAGCCATTCAGCCTTTTTTTCGTTTTTTCAGCTCCGGGAATGGGAAGTCTCTTCCAAGTCTTGCCTCTCCAGCCGGCCCTGTCCCTGCTGTCCCTGTTATCTACCCCCCCCCCCCCCCCCCCACCTACCGGCCTACCGGTGCATGCGCGACCGAAGACCGCGACCAATATCTGATGATGGGTATGTTGCCCGGTGGTCCTTCGATAACAGGTTGAATTGTGAGTGGATTAAGGCAAGTCACGGGAGGAGATAGCCAGTGGGATATGATCAATGGGAGAGAAACAAAACATATTCTTGTCGCTGATTGCCAGACCGAGCACTGTGATATGTAAAAGAGAAAAAAATTTAAATTACATGTTAAAATGAGGGCAAGACGGGGCACCTCTCTGGCCGCGGCTCAGACGATGCGATTCCAGCTAGACCCCCAGCCTTGATTACATCTTTCCGTCGATCCGTCTCATTCGCGCCCAAGAGGGTATATATACGAAGATTTTGTGAGGGATTGGAAGAGAAGTTTAAAAGAAGGTAAAAAAAGAAGTTTAAGAGGGAAAAGAAGATCTAGAAAAGGGGAAAGAAAAATGAAGAAAAACGCCTGTCATGACTGCCGTCATGACTGCCGTTGAGCGTCGTGTGACCCGGTTTATGGTTTTTTTTTTTTTGACGCCAGAGAGAGAAGGGAAAGGCGCCGAGGCGGCCGGAACGCCGTGCTCAAGCCTTGGGGCCATAGAGCCAGTAGTACGCGGCGTACGGCACGCTGTCGCTGGCGCCGGCCGTAGTGCACTTGTTCGCAACGCCGCCGGCCGTGACGACACGGTAGACAGCCGTGATGCCCTTGCTGCCGCCCTTGTCGCCCAACTGCAGCCAGTCGACGGCACCGGTCTTCTCGGGACCGGGGTCAGCGGACGAGGGAGCTTTGATGCCGTCGAGCTTGGCACCCTTGAGTATGTCGGCGCCGACCTTGAACGTGGGCACGCCCGTGTTGTCAAAGAAGTGCACGCCGATCTGCTTCAGAGGGGCGACGTTGGGGAGGACGAGATCCGCTGGGGCGGGGAAGGGGGCCGTGGAAGAGGCGCCAAAGCGGGTGACGCCGTCAGAGACAAGCGGAAGCGGTGCGTCCCAGACGGTGTTGGTGGTGAGGGCGTCGAAAGCGTCGACGGAGGGGAGGGAGCCGGGTCCGGCGTTCGGGTACAGAGGCTGGGCATCGTAGAGGCCGGCGAGGGCACCGGTGGCGACGGCGGTCAGGGTTGTGGCGTCTGTGGCGACGCAGGTATAGTTCTGGATACCGTGGCCGAGGGCGAGGTACTTCAGGACAAGGTCGGCAGCAGGTGCGGGAAGTTCGGCGCCTTCAAGGCGGGTGTTAGTGGTGGCTTCAAGGAGAGGATGTAAGCAGATGTGGCGTACCATTCCCATGTGTGGGGAGGGTCGGAACAACGGGCTGGGAGCCGCAGCGGCCGGCTTGTCTCTTTGCTGGGGCGGCAGAGGCGAGAGCCAGGGAGGCTAGCAGGAGAAATGTCTTGGCGAGCATGTTGGGCTGGTTCTGGTTGACAATAGACTAGACTCTGGCGTTGGATGTTGGTGGCAGAACGTAGAGACGCGGCGTAGAGAGGTAATATAGATGTATGCGGGTAGCTACCAGGCCACGCGCAGAGAATTCGAATCTAATAAAAGATTCGTCCCAAGGAATAAAAGAAAGAACGGGCTAGTATATCTGTAGTAGGGGCGTAATGCGGCGGGCCGCCTTGGAGATGACCTTTGGGGGAGGCGGGTTATGTGGGTAATTTGAGCCGAATTTAGGTACGGCGCTTACAGGCGCTGCTATGGGGCGGATGAGGTCTTGGACCGAGACAGGAAGCGAGGCTAATGCGGGCGGGAGATGGAAGAGAAGAAGAAAAAAAAAAGAGGTGCAGGAAAAGGCCCTTGGAAGTAATGCAGCGAGTAGAGCAGGCAAGATTCGAGCTAAACAGACGGCACACAAGAAAGAGTCGAGAGGATGAGAAAAAAGTTTATGCTATGATACGGACCAAAAGAGATGAGATGGGGGCGGAACTGGAGGATGGGTTTTATATCGATTCTGAACATGACACGAAAAGCTGGAGAGGACCCGAAATCGAGGAATTGGATGCGACCTGTCAGTATCCATGCACACCTGAACGAGGCGCACTCTCGTCCGGTCTGACAAGGCAGGTTTCCTTTTCGGAATGCAAGGCGGCGCAGGGGTCAGTCCGTATGTGTCCATCGCGGGCACAAGTTGGTGCAGTGTCCGTTGGTATAGGAAGAGGAGGGGAGGAGGAGCAGGGAAGCCACCTGCTGGACGGGTCGAGGAATGACTCCCCTGGACCATGTTGATGTTGGGTGTGAGTCGTCAAAGTACCATGGCGTTTGCTTAGGCCGCAGGTGGAATGAGGCAAGGATTTCTTTAGGAGCATGAGAGAGAGAGAGAGAGCTAGTTGGTGATGTGCTTGTTCGTCTGTGCCGTGCCGTGCATGCGGATTGCTTGCAAGCTAAACACCATGGCGGGAAAGGTTGCTGCGAGGACGGATCGCGAACAGCAACGTGGAAGACGTGCAAAGAGGGAGTAGGCAAGCACACACCCACCCACACATACACACACACACACACACACACACACACACACACACACACACACACACACACATATGAACAACTAGCGTTCCTTCCTTCCTGACATGAGACGAAGGGGTTCGAGGGCCACGCGAAGGATATCGGTAGGTAGGGCAGGTCCAACTTGCGACGAAAGGCCTGCCTTCCTTACCTGTCTGTCTGTCTGTCTGTCTGTCTGCTGCCTTCCTCACCTACCTATATTGTACATACAGATACCTACCTACCTGCCTGCTCTGTATTCCTAACCGGCCGATGCAGGACACTACACACGATGTACTTAATCGGCAACCACCACGATAGACCCCTGCCTTCCCTCTGCGGGGATGCCTGGCGCAATGCGCGTTTATGTCGGAAGGCAGCCCACCAACTGCTGTGGGTCTCTGGCTGAAGACGGCAGGAACGATGAAGGGGGTGGGGTTGCCATTGGCTGGGAAGGGCTTGTTTGCCGGCCTTTGCGCTCCTAGGTAGGTAGGTACGAACATTACTCCGTACGGATACTACCTATCCAGTATCCTTTCTTTCCTTTTTCTTCATTTCCTTCCCATTCCCTGCACCTTGCCTCATCCCATATCAAAATTCGGATTCATGGGCGGCCGCGGGCGGCCATATCCTGTCAGCCAGTCTTCCCTCGGGCATGGTTATGCATGACCACAGCCACGCTACCCGTCATCTACACACACGTTATGAGTATGGAGACACTGATTGCCACGCAGACAGACGATAATATCCATCTGTCAAACCCGTCATGCCGCCGCCGCCGCCGCCATCATCCGAGCCAAGTCCCCGATAAGAGTTGCTGGAGTACCGTACCTACCGCCACCGCCATTGTTATTGGGGAATGACGGACGTACCTTCGTGTTGCTGTCAGGCTTGCTTGGGAGGTGAGGGGGGAGGGGAGGGAGCACGGAGATCCTCAAAGTCAATCTTCTTGGTTGTCTCTGACCCTGTTTCTTGGCTCGGTGCCACCCATGATTGACTCCACGATCCGACGAGCACCAGGTCAAAGATGCCCGAAATGGTGCTGACTCTGTTGGGCATGGACACCTCTCTCGAGTCGTCAAACTACATTGTACTTCATTTCCTCCATGTAACCCACCAACTGTCCAGATATCCACCATCAATGCGGCCCCTTGCCTATGCCAGGGTTGCTGAGTCCGACACCTTGAACCGAAGCGTCTTGGATGTTACCTCGCCATTCCGTATTTCCTGCTCATCGCGGGTGGGCGCGTCTACGCTGACAGTTCGACCCCTCACCAACCCATCCTCATGCGCCTGTTTGCCCCCGCTAATCCGCGTCAAAGCCTCGGCGACTGGCTGATGGTGGCTGGGCATTCGGCTACCACGCTTCCAATACCAAGTGAGCACCCCTCGCAAAATATAGCACGGCTGTCCAAGAAGCCGAGACCTCATGAATCCATCCGCGTGCTGACTGGCTCAATAAGCGGCCGCCGCTGCTAAATCTGGCGGGTGCCTCTTTATTTGGAGCACGCCGGTCCTCGGTCGTGAGATCGCATTAGGTCGCTATCCTTCGCCAAAGAGAGAGACGCGTATGACAGGATGAGACCTAGCCGTCTATCTCGTCGTGCCGTTTCTTTTGTTGTCCCGGCCGTCGCGCTTTGCACACATTGAATTTCACCTTGAAACCGAGTCAGCTGTCCGCTGCTTGACAATTGTGGTTGACAGCTCCCCGATGCAACCGGCGGGTCTCCTCCACACCACCATCATCTCCTCGGCACGCCTCTCTCCCTGCATCCTGGGCGTTTCGTTTCCTGGCAAGCTGATCACTATTCGCCACGGGAACAGGCAGAGACTGACAGGGCCTTTCGGTGCTCCACTGTGCGATGGAAGCCATCGGTTGCAACCGCACTTTATTCCAGACTCGCCTTCTCCTGACCTGAACTGTATTCGTATAGTCAACCTTCTCGCCGGTATATCTCTCTCTGCCTAGATAGGTATTTGGTTAGTGTTCCACGCAACGGAGCTCAACGTGCCAAACCTGAAACCTCGCCCAGTTCAGTCGCGTCGTTTGGGGTTCTGCAGTACGACACCGTTGACACTCTGATGCTGATTGATTGATGGCTTCGTTGAACCACAACGCAAAGGCTTCAGGAGCAAATCATGTTTGTCCAACTCTCATCCATTCTGCTCTTGGCATGAAAGACATCGGACAAACTCCCACAGTCCCTTGCGCACAACCAGCATCTCGGAACCACCGACATGACATATTAAGCTTTGTATCTTGAGCTTGACCCTTCCCTCAGGTTCAAACTCTATATGGAATCATGTTGACAGCTTTGCGGGGCCTCATTTGTCGCTTCAAGACGGGGTTCAGGAAAAGAGGACCCATGGGGGCCGCAATTCAAGCTTTCGTTCTGTCCATCTAGTAGCATCGTGTTGGTACCAATAACCAATCCTGGACAAGACCGAACTGGACAGGGACAAACTGCTACGTTGCGGACAAGCCCCTACCAGCGCAACCTTGCACTCCAACCTAGGTTTTCCCTTGTACTCCAACCTTCCTAAGCCCGATCGCCAATATCGAAATGGGACGGGGTATTCGGCTTGATGGCGTCTCAGATATTTTGCACCGCCCGCACCTTGACTGCTCAAGCGGAACTCGTCACAGATAAAGCCAATTTTCCATGGCCGTCGCGTTGCGGGCGATTCGGGATTTGTTGCTCGCAGCTCCCAAGCCAAGGGAACCCCCTCCGTTTCAAGCGGCCACCAATACTACTTAGCCCCGGGTTTCAAAGTGCGGCACCCCGGCCATACTTTCTCCGAATCCCCTCATTCACATCTGTCAATCACCCCAAGGCTCCCCTCCCCGCCCCTGGACGACCCAACAATCCACACAAAAGGAGGATCATGTTTCTCGGGAAGGTGTTCATCCCAACTTTCCGTCCAAGTACGACGATCAAACCGACTGCCCATCCGTAATCAAACAACCGTCACTGACTGACTACCTACACAACACGATGATGCGACTATGTGATGGCCCCTGCAGCCAGCCCCTAGCTATATCCTGAACAAGCGAGAACGAAGACGAACGGAATTTTCGCGAAGATTTCCTCGCTGACCCAAAGGAATGGCACTCGGCCGTCTGATCTACGCCAAGTATTCGACTCGGGCTGTCAAAAGCACCTCCTCTCTCCCCTTCTCGTTTGGAACTTTAAAGTACCCAACGATCTGTCGCAATTGAAAGTTCAACACGCAACCAAGCTGCGTGCCTCAATCCTGCATTCGTTTTGGCCTCTCTTCTGGAACTGCAAGACGCACGGATCATGCAAGCGTCAGGACTATTACCTCCAACGGGCACGCTACGTGCGGCGCAGGCACTCCTCCGAGGTGTCATAGACCATGACGGAACGCCAAGTCCGAACCGAGAGCAGACTCCAAGGTATCGGGCTGACAAACGGCTTCTCATCTACGCCGTTCGGCCTTCGTCCGAGATCCCGCGGCCTGCGTCGGAGCCGTTCCCAGGCTGGTTCGCTTGGGGATGAGGGGTTCGCGCAGGAAAGCAACCATCACGCGGTCCCAGGCTCCCAATCATCCCCCTCCCCAGACTGCGTCGGACCGTAACTTCAAGTTACACAGACGCCGTCCACCAGCGCAATCAGCTCGCAGACGGTGGACTAAAGCACGACTAACTGCACATAATCAATTTTCTTCCATTCCCGGTCAATGCTCAATCACCGCGGCAGAGTAGCATGTGGCCCGCATGGCGTCCATTCAACCAATCAAACCCGCTGTCATCCGGAAGAGGTGCGCTTAGGACGCATGCCAACGTTGGACTGCCTACTGCAGGTAAGTCTCATGGCAGTTTCCCACCGACCTTTGGCCTGTTGACACCCACGTCAGCCGCCATCTGACTTCGAGATGGCCCCCCTCCATCTGCGCTAGTTGCTTGCTCATCATGCTCGTCTGCTCCTTCGGCCGCTTTGCCGCTTGGCTGCTTGGGCCGCGAGGAGGAAAGCGGCGTTAAGTGCGCATGTCGGCAGCCAGGCGTGTTGGCGCTAGAGGCGCGGATGTTGGATGGGCTTGCAGATGACCAAGAAACTGTTGGAGGAACAAGTTGGTCGCGGCTGTATGGATGCCTTGTCGACTGCTTGCTCGGCCCTCTCACATGATGGATGCCGCCTGCGCTGGCACCACGTAGGCAACCTGGCCGTGGCCAAGGAGGCCCAAAGACGGCACAGCACGCAGACCGAATCGAGATGGGCTATGAGAAGCTCCCAAGGCGCGCAAGGAAGTGGGCGAATCAGAGCGAGAGTAAGAGGTGCTTTCCGAACTCCACCCATCGCGCTTCAGCAGCCTACCTGCGATATCTCCCTTCTCATGCCGTTTTGTCTTATGGCCTTACAGTTCGTCCCTTGTTGGACGTGCGTACAGCCGATTTCCTCCCCGTCAGAATTAGCTCGGCAGATCTGCAGCATATTCTGCGTTGTTTTCGAGTATCACTCTTGGTCACTGGAGTGAGAACGCCGCTTTCTCACGTCTGGCCACAATCCTTGATCATCGCGGTGAAGGGTAGACGGGGAACTATGCATAGGAGAGTATGAGTCTCCCCTTCCAAGGTAGACCGGCAAGATCCACAGCTTCGACGCTCGTTGATGCAGTCCACTCACTGCCCATCTGCCTCGGTGGTCGGTCCCTCGGTCTGGATCGAGGGTTGATATCCATGGCCTTCCCTCACTACTTGTGTGAGTTATCGGCAAGGGGTGAATTGATACGGCCCTCGGCTCTTCCAGAGTATGTAACCGAGTCACCCATGATTGCGGCACAGGCTGGTATACCACCAGCTCACAAGTTATGGAAAGTTTATCGGGTCAGCAACGGGCTTAAAGAGTCAAGTGGTGTTCTTCGCATACTCGGGCACAAGCTAGCTTGGTATAACCGAAGGCCGTAAAATGCTTCTACTATGTACTTGGAATTCGGACCGCCACACCGCTAGTGTTGGGTGCCCAGTCTACCCCTCCTTAAACCAGCGTCGAGCACTTCCAAGTATAGCAACGATGGCTAAAGATAGAGTCGAAGGTCGGAGGCGTGTTGTTGTTCGGTTCTACCACCATGGCCATTTGATCGCTACAGCTACACCCCAGACCACCCCATCCCGTGTTGGTTGGCTCTCGGGAAGTGCGCAAGACCAACGACCAGAGGCTGTGTGACTAGACGACATTCTTCGCTGGTCGAAACATGTATCTGAATGTGTATCTTCCCCAACCTCGATTTCCGCCCTTGCCACCAGGTGCCCATTCGTCCAAATCATAGTCGCTCCTCCCAACCTCCTCGAACCCGGCCTTGACGTACAGGCTGTGGCATGACCTCCTGGTGGGCGTCCTCGTCCCGATTGAGGAGCATCAGGTTCGAGAACTGGTCGGTCTTGAAGGCCGCCGTATGGACCCTCAAGAGAGCCGGCACGTCTTCGGCCTGAACGTGTGGACAGCGAGACCAGCGCGGGTGTACTATCGGCAACGCGTTTGTCCGTTATAATTGTGGACCATGGAAGAGACGAGGCGGGATGGGGGGCTTCGATGCCGTTACGTGAGGGGACCAAGGAAAGAGGACGACGGTTACTGAAGAGAGAGGGAAGTCATCAGGGTTTCGGTTTGTTGTTATGATTTAACTTGGGCTAATCGCAGCCTATGATGCATTCAGATGTTATACTAACACGATAACAAAGCGGGGCAGGATCGATACGCGGCAGCCCGACATTAGTTAGCTCTTTGAAATCAAGCGGAGTTTGACGTCTTGTGAAAATGTCCCCCGGTTCGCTTATATGGAGCAAGTCGCTCACATAAACATTGTCGAGATACCGGCCGACGCCCGCTGGCCTAAATGCCGCGTTCACGGCATTACACACGGAGTTTTTACTCTCTCGGAGCACAAGCGAAGGTGTATGTCTTGACACAAGCATTGGAATAATCGAGTCCCGTTGCGTCCACTCGCAACCATGTAGCAACGAAGACAACCGGGTTCGAGTTAGCATCGCGGTGTTGTATTAGGGCAGACGCGATCCTATCGCAATAGGACTGGGCGTATTGGTTATGATGGTGGAGACACCTGTCAACAGGCCTCCAAATGTCCCGATGAACCAGAGTCGCTCCGGCATCGCCTTTTTACAGACGAGTGAGTCGCTCGGCTATTCTGACCATTCAGACATCTGCCCTGTAACCCCAGTGCATCGTTTTCGTCCGTACGTTGAACGGGGGTGGCTACCTAGTCGCCGCTAGGACAAGTATGGCGTCCCCGAGTACAGACGAGGCCATCGCGGCAGGCGAGTCGCAGAAGCCTCAAGCGTCAAAAAACAGCGACCTGCTTGACCTCTATGAACGGCGGGGCGCCAGGACTCTGGCAATGTTGGACGCATCTCGCGGCGAGAAGAAGCACGATGTCGATGGCCTTTCCGACAAGGACCTTGAGCGAGTTACCATCTCCCTCAAGGACAAAGAGGGCGACACTGACTTACAGGAAAAGAAGCCGGTTGGGGAGACATCCCGCAACTTCAGGCACTACACGTTTGTGAAGCGATGGGAGCCGCTGAGCTCGTCGGACGCGACCTTGGACGTGGAGTGGTTCATGGCGTCGCCCGAGGTCCTGCCCGAGAATGACCCGGCGTATCTCTGCGACATGTGTCGGCACATCGACTTCAAGTTGCTGCTGTCCCAGCGCGGGCTCCCCTCGGGCCCCGAGCGGATCACCGTCCACGGCTTGTGGAGAGTGATGCAAGAAGAAGGGAACAGCTGCGCCTTTTGCAGGATGCTGCGGCAGAAGATCACCGACGACGATCTCGTCTCCGACATGACAGCGGACGAGGTCTCCGACGGAGGCTTCTACCTCGACGTGATGGACGAGGGTCCCGAACGGGCGCTGAGACTGGAGGTGGAACTCGGGGACCGGTCGGGGCAGAGGCCGGGGAGGTTTCTGGTGCACAGGATTGAGGAAGGGTCGCGGCAGCCTCTAGCTGGCCGATTCGTGCGGCAAGATGGCGCTGGCATGAGCTGCTTGAGGAACTGGCTTGGTCTCTGCGAGGACACGCATCAGGTCTCCAATCAGGGAGCCGATCCCGACCTTACTTCGCTGCGAGTCATCGATACCGAGGAGCTTCGGGTCAAGGAGGTGGAGATGCCCTTCCGCTATACCTGCCTCTCTTACGTGTGGGGGAAGGGGAGTCGGACGCAGTACACTACCACGACAAGAGAGGCATTAGAAGCAGCGATCCCTCGCTGGGACGGTTCGCGAGCCGAGGCATCGCCATGGATCACGGGTTCGGGGATACAACCATGGTGTCTGGCGACGTGGACTTGGAGAACTTCCGACCCGACATGCTAAAGGCGTCCGTCTTCAAGGTCACGGTGGACGCGGCCCGGGATTTCATGGGCTCCCTCGGCGAGGCCCAGGGGTCGTCGACGCCTTGGGATCTGTACCGCCTCGCCGTGGACGATTACACAAAACGGAAGCTGAGCTGGGAGTCGGACGCCGTCGACGCCTTTGGCGGCGTGGAGCATATCGTCAGGCAGGGCACGAACACAAAATTCTGGTACGGACTGCCCTCCTTCGCGTTCGAACAACCGCTCATGTGGAATCCCGGCGAGGTCCTCGAAAGGCGTTCTCTGAACGGCAAACCCCTTTCCCCAAGCTGGTCATGGGCTGCCTGGCGGGGCCATGTGTCCTATCGCGGAAGAGGGTGGAAGAACTCGATATGCTGGGAGCCTTTGCCCGTGATACGCAGGATGGTCAGGGTCGAGCCCAAATGGTTCATCGACAACTTCAAGGAGGCGGGGGAGAGGACAGAAGACGAGGTCGAGGAATACTCGAAGAGGGTGGCCCAGGCTAAAGTGCTGTTGCGGGAGCTCGATCCATTTTCGCTTTACCATATGGACGATACGGAGGATGACGGCTGGGCTGTGGAACATGACGAGGAGCGTAACCGGCATGTCTATCCCCACCCCGCTTACCAGAACGCAAGGTTCACGTACCCGGTCAGTCTGCCGGGCCAGACTGTCGATGACCGCCCGGACGGGGCCGGCATGCTGCATTTCATGGCTCACGCCGTACCAGTCGTTGCCTGCGACATGGGACAAGAACCCTTCAAGATGGCAATCGAGGACCGTCACCTTCAGATCGGCTACAACGACGAGGACCGCTCGGCAAACTACCGCCCGCCCTGGCAGCGGATCGTCTACCACCACCAGGGCTACCGCGCCGGGTTCCTCAGCCTCAACGCCCCCTTACGACCCGTCGGACGGCGCCGAGTACCACCTGGCCGCCATCACGCGCGGCAGCCTCCCGCACGCGCCGCCGCCGCCCCCGCCCGGCTGGGACGCCTACTGGGGCGCGCGTCCCCAACGAGACGGCGGAGCCGCGGACGGCGCCGCCGAGCAACGAGAACGGGGACCCGCACTGGGGCCAGGGACAGTTCAACGGCGTGGGCGTCATCGACGTGTACAATGTGCTGCTTCTGAGGAAGCGGGACGGGGTTTCCGAGAGGATCGGGGGAGGCAAGGTCAATTACTGTGCTTTTTGGGCGGCTCGTCCGCAGGAGATGGTCGTGACACTTGCTTAGCTTTCGGGTTTCTCAATTTACCCAACCGGCTCTAGTGAACAGATGTCGCGGGCTACTCTCCTTGAGGTATCCGCCGCCAGGTCGGCTTGAGTGGGAGAAAAACAAGGCATGGTTGCCGTCGTAACCTCCCCTCGCCTCATCACCTCTGTTTCCGCGAGCCCTGCCGACTCCAGCCCAGGAAAGAAGCTCTTGTATGTATGGTCTTTTGCCGTTCTTCTGTAGAACCGCGTAGCCCGTCTCCGCGGTTTCCCCTTTTCAGGTGACCATCCACAAGCTCTCCTCCGACTGAAACCTTGGTGCGAGATGATATGCTATGCGGGTGCGTATTTATGCTCAGCGAAGCCCATCTCATTTTGAAGATTCGTATGGCATACCGCCAGGTGTACCGGGTAAGAAACGCCCTCTCGCATTTTTACCTCCCCCCCACCCCCTCGCCCAAACGGGCCGGGAAACCCCTGCCAAATCACTCGTCCTTCCGGAGCCTCCTCTTCTCCTCCGGCGCCGTCGCCAGCTTCCGCGCCAGCCACCCGGGCGCGCGTTCGAGGAACGCCCGCTGCGCGGCGTGCCGGAGCCAGGGCGTCACCTCCAGCATCCCCCTCCGCGCCGCGCCTTATGTGATATGCGTATTTCTTTGTCCGCGATAACCACAAGAGATTCCATCAACAAAGGCGTGGATATGTCCCGTCTCTTGTATCCCGAGGTGGCACAGAGGGTTCGTGTGGGGCGAGTATAGGAACAGTCGGAAATTCCTTTGGAATGCCGACAATAAGGAATTTCAGAATCCAAAAGGCTTATTGAGACCCTGACATGCTGTGCAGATAGAAAGACGCATCGGGTGACGAGGATGACCAAAAAAGA